TATATATATATAGGCATACATTTTCATGAAACATCAAAGTTTGTCTTTATGAATTTATCTAGTTGAATTTAGTCCCTTTAAATGATGAAAAAGCTGACCTCCACTCCCCAATGAGCAACTATCTCTAGTGACACTCTCATGTAAAATGCTATAATAATAAAAGCAGCCACTGTTCTGCTGTCAGAGACAATGACTAACTGTCACACACTGATGGTCTTCATAAGAGTGTGTCAGTCGCATGTGATTATCGTCAGGTCTGCGGCTGGTCACAGTGTGTGACACCACCATTCACAGTCAGGAGCTGTGGATTTATAAGAGGACTATAGAAATAGAGGATGGCAGGAAAGCTGCTTTGAAAATAAAGCTTGTCAAGAAACAAGCTAGGGCTGTGCACTGCCTGATTGACATGCGATATAAAGGTGGTCTGAGAATAGACAAGAAGCGCTGCATTAAATGACATTGTACCGTACGTGGCATATCATTAAAATATGGAAATGTATTTTACCCAAGTGTTTTGAGCGCTTGTCTGCTGTTACTGATGATGCTTTTTTTTTAATGGCCTTTCATGTCATTAACCGATGAATTAATGCTGGAGTCATTCATTCATTTTCCTTCGGCTTAGTCCCTTTATTCATCAAGAGTTGTCACAGTGGAATGAACCGCCAACATATCCAGCATATGTTTTACGCAGCGGATGCCCTTCCAGCTGCAACCCAGTACTAGGAAACACCAATACACATTCATTCACACACATACTCATACACTACGGCTAATTTAGCTTATTCAATTCACCAATAGTGCATGTGTTTGGACCAACGCAATCTCACGGCATTTCGTAATGTTTTGATTTAGTGGCTAATTCTTATGAATTCGTACAATCTAATTCGTACAATTTAGTACGATTTCCTCATCACCCAATGATGGTTGGGGTTGGGTGCCACGCCTCCTTTTTAAAATAGAATATTTTTGTACGACTGAACTCGTACGAATTTGTATGAATTAGCCATTAAAATGACAAAACGTAAAATACTTACGTTTCACCATCTGGAGGAAACCCACGCCAACATGGGGAGAACATGCAAACTTTCAACCCAGGCTCATTCTGAAAACATAGGACGTTTCTGGAGACCACGAAATACATCCCGGGAGGTACGTATGGCTGCAATTAGTTTTTTTAAGCGAACGCTACGGGGCGGTATGACGCCGTTTCCTTTCGCGCTTGCCAGCTGACCGCTTACCTCCGTGTGGAGGGTTTTCCCGCCACAACCAGTTTGTCCAGTCAGCTCATCGTGTGCGTCGGCAGACTTCAGATGCAGAGAGGAGGAGTTGACCATGGTGACCGGGTTCGAGTCCGGGGAGGAGCGATTCCAGACAAAAACTGAATCCAAAAAATAAAGCGAACGAGTTCATAACAGGGTGAGAACGTGGTGAAATCCGAAAACATGGTGAAAAAATCAGCACAGCTTTTCTTTTTCTGGACGGTTTTTGTAAACCGTCTGTTGGGTTTAGGGAAGTAAGCGGGCGGGCGGGTCAGTCGGTAAAATTGGTTGGGTTTAGGGAAGGAGGAGGGTGGTGTCAGCCGATTGGCCGGTCGCACAGTCATTCATTCAGTCAGTCGGACAGCGTCCTCTGGCGGGTTTACGCGAGAACATCGCAGGCGCGTACGGCACTCGTGAGAGTCGTCTGAGATGCAAAAAAGCTCGCACAGCGGCCTCTATTCGCGAAAACAAAACGTCCACGGGACTACGTTTTCAGAATGAACCTGGGTTGCAAACTCTACACAAAAATGCCAACTGACACAGTCAGGATTCAAACCAGCGACCTTCTTGCTGTGAGGTGACAGCGCTACCCACTGCACCACCGTGTCGCCAACAAGCACTATTCTATACATACAAAAATAAGTAGAGTAAATTTCATTCCAACTTTAACAGTCTTCCTTTAGCATCTGAAGTCTATACATCCAATGACTCTCAAGGAGTATCAGTCTACTCAACTGCAGCGTTGTGGTTTCTGTGCCGTTTATTACTGTGTTTCTGAAGGAAACAAAGCTGCAGTCAGAGGAACTGAAAGAATAGAGTTTAAAATAAGGCTCTGCTATTGACTGTCTGAATCTCTGCAGCTCTATCAGCAGGGACGAGGTTTTCTTCTGGCTGACGGATGTGGAGCTGACAGTGAACAGATGACAGCAGTGATGCCTTTGTTTCCACTTTGTTCAAGAGAGCATGCAGGATCAATTCTTGCTCTGCTCTTATTCTGCTGCAGAGTGTGACTTATTACCACAAACCAAGATATACAGTCTGCAACACAGTAACACAAACGGGCCACACGAATGCATTCA